CTAAAAATAATTAAAAAAACATCTTTCTAGTTTTAGAATATGGGACAAGTTTAAAACCTTCAAATTGTAAAATTTCAAACCACAACAATGAATCCTTTCTTTCATTCCCTTTAATATTTTGCAATTTCAAACACCTAAATCTCCATATGAACATCACATCACTTTTTTAGTTTTATATCAAGGATTAAATATGTTTAAAGTCTCTTTAAATTTAATTATTTTCACTTTCGGCCCTTCTAAAAAATTGCGTAAAAGAACCGTCTCTCCAAAATTAGGAATTTTAACTTTTAATCTTTCCTACTAACATTATCGCTAAGTAGTTTTATTCTAGAATTTGATGCCCCAAAAATACGGTCTGTATTTTAAAATTCAGGAGATGTTTTTGTCAATTCCTGAAATTTAAGAGAAGTTTTAGGGTTGAAAAAAGAAAAACTCATTAAAGTATTCCAGTAAATTATTATTTCTTGTTTAAATTTAATTTTTCATACATTTTGGTATACAAAACTATTCATTGAATTAATGTAATTTATTTTGTTTAATATTTCTTTTTAAATTGATGATAAAGTCAATGGATTTAATTTTTATTAAAATAATATTTATTTTACATATAAAAAATTTAAATAGTAGTACAAGAGGTATTTTTATCAAACACAAATTATATATGTTGGAGGCATAAGAGAATTATTTGGCGGCCTTACCCTTAGATTAGCTATGCGGAAGTCATAATTCAACGGACAAATATCGATATTGTTATATTGAATACTAACAATCGAATTTGAATTCAAAATCTTATCGATATTGTAATATTAAATACTGTTGAAAAAGAATTACAAGTAAGAATAGTATGAGGAAGTTCTACATTGGTTAAAAATATGGAGATTTGAGCATTTATAAGTGGGAGAACTCACACATCTATCACCTTAAGATTTTAGGTGAGTATATGGTGTGTCTCTCACAAAGTGTATTCCTCCTAAAAGAAATGCCCCAAAAGTGTAAAAATGTTCCCTCATGTTGATCCCTTGAATTGCCCTAATAAATGGTATCATGAGCTTTGGATTTCAAGTGAAACAACCGACTTACTTATATGATATCATGAGTGAAGGGACCAATTTAATTGTATCGAAGTTCCCGTAGGAAGTGTCCCGTTTTGCTTTTGAATTCAAAACCTTATAGTTTGATGTGAATTTCTAATAATTGGCAAATTGTTATCGCTTCATCCACAAGACAATAAATAAATAAATTGTCCATAAAGATTATACAATTGATTTTTGGAAAAATATCTTTTTCCCCCTATTTTTACCTCAGTATTCATTTTGGTCTCTTAATTTTTAAAAAGATCAATATAGTCTCTTATGTCTACAAACAACTTCATTTAAATCATTTTCTTCTAATTCTCACATATGGCGTCTATTTTTACACGCGTAGCATTTAACGTAGTATATATTCCTACGCGTGGCATCTGACATGGCATATGTTCTTCACAAAGTTCATCAAAATTCCAAAATATAAGAAAATAAATCATGATAATATAAGAAAACAACAAACTAGCACACTCAATGTTAAGGTGAGCAGTTATTCAAAACCTAGCTGGAATATTGTAAAAGAGGATGTGGTTGTAGTTGTCCGAGATTTCTTTGAGAATGAAAGACTATATAAGGCGTTCAATTGTACATTGGTGACTCTCATTGCTAAAGGATATGAGGAAAAATTCATAAGGGGCTATCGACCTATTTCGGGATGCACCCCTGTGTATAAAATTATCTCTAAAATCATCATTGTTAGGATGGGAAAGGTTATTGAAAGTATCATTAGTCAGAGCCAGACTGCTTTTGTCTTGGGGCAACAAATTCACAATCATATTCTTTTGGCTTATGAGCTGATTAAAGGTTACTCTAGAAAAAGTGGTACTCCTCGTTGTATGATGCAAATAGACCTCCAGAAGTCATATGATATGGTAAATTGGAAAGCTCTGGAATGTATTATGAAAGAGGTGGGGGTCATGATAGTTATGTCCACTGTTTCTTGCAGGTTCAATATCAATGGTTGTCGCTTTAATCTATTGCAGGCTAGAGATGGGATTCTTCAAGGAGACCTCATGTCTCCTCTCCTCTTTGTTATAGTCATGGAGTATTTGAATAAAATTTTGCATAATATGCAGAAGAACCATAATTTTAACCATCATGCAAAGTGTGAAAAACTTTGTATTACTAACTTGGCCTTTGCAGATGACCTACTCCTTTTTTCAAGGGGAGATTCTATATTTGTAGAGCTTATGATGAATGCTTTCAATACGTTCTCCATGTCCACTGAGCTTATTGCTAATCCTGGAAAATGCAAGATTTATTTTGGAGGAGTTGATGGTGATACTAAGAGGAATATTCTCGACCTGACTAGGTTTATAGAAGACCATCTCCCGTTTCGGTATTTGGGAATTCCTCTCACTTACAAAAAGTTGTCTATCCATTTCTATATGACTTTAGTGGATAAGATTGTTGGGAGAACCAAACATTGGATTAATAACTTTTTGAGTTATGCAGGATGAGTCCAGCTTATCAGGAGTGTGACGTTTGTCATTGCAAATTACTAGATGCAATGCTTTCCTATCCCAAAGCATGTCATTCACAAAATTGAGGTTGTTTGTAGATCTTTTCTTTGGACGGGGAGCCTGATATCAGTAGGAAGATCCCTCGTGGCTTGGGAGATAGTTTACAGACCGCAGGCTTATAAAGGATTAAACATCATTGGTCTTAAAGTGTGGAATAAGGTGACAATGTTGAAGTTGCTTTGAAACCTTAATGGTAAGGTTGATAGTTTGTGGGTTAAGTGGGTTAATACCTACTACTTGAGTAAGGAATCTCTGATGAATATTTGTATAAGGAATCATAATTTGTGGATTATGAAAAGTGTCCTTAAGCATCGAGATAGCATTGTGGAGATCCAACCCATATGGGTTAATATGCAAGGTAAAGACTGGTTCTGTATTAAGGAGGTGTACAATAGTCTTTGTACAAACACCATTAAGGTTCGATGGTGTAACCCGTTTCGGGGTAACACATCCAGGCCTAGAGCTTTGATGACACTATGGCTTGTCTGCCATGGGAGGTTAGCCACAAAACACCGTCTGAAAAAGTTTAGCATGGTTAATGATAGTTGTTGTTGTTTTTGTTCTGCTGAGGGAACTATTAATCATTTGTTTTATGGATGCTTTGAGCTTAAGATAATATGGGCTACGGTGCTTGAGTGGATTCAAATCAAGAGGAATCTCATGATTGAAATAAAGAATTAGATTGGTTAATTTCCTCCACTGAAAGAAAGGGATGGAGACCTACAATTTTGAAATTGGTTGTTGTTGAAACTTTATATGGTGTCTGGAAATACCGTAACGATAAAAGTTATGGTAATATTGTTGATAATACAAAGATAGTTGATAATATTATTGATATGATAATTTATAGGGGTTGGCATAGTGGGAAACTTAGAGATCATATAGCTAAACTTATGATGGTTTAGATTTTCGTTGACTTTTCTGTTTGTTTTTTTTAAGGTTGGATCCTAGCGATCGTCTTGTTCTTCTTATTACTTTTTGAATTAATACAAGTTAACAACATGGTTCACTCTAAAAAAACGATTAGTTTACAAGAAAACGGCATCGACATTTTCAATTATGAACGGACAAGGAATAAGTTTTACTATTTTCCATTTCAACTATACTGTCTCATATTTGTAAAAATTGTAAATACAACATTACCTAATATTCCATCTTCTACCATTCAATCTAGTATTAAAGTTTTAAAATGCAGTTAACAACCACAATTAAAACCAAGTTTCATTAACTAAGTATCCAAGTCACTCACATTCATCCCTAACCTTTTTACAATATTATCAATTGTAGCACGACCGCAATTAGTACCCTTTAACAGATCAGATTCTTAAGAAGTAAACAACTTCCTTTAGAGTTCAATATTTGGAATCACATTGAGTTTAACCAAATCATTGTGACGTCGTCATGTCCACATATACTATACAGTATAAATACTGGTAGGGGACGAATACAAGAATGTCACGGGCCTTGCATTGAATTGAATCAAATAACGATAGCTTTTTCCATACTCACGAATGGGCTGTATCACCAAACTTGACCAAATTCCTAAATGCATGTGGTCCACTTTTACTAAAAATAATCCAATCTTTCAACTTAGTAATAGTAAAAAATAACACAAATCATGAATCTTCGAATGAGTTCACAACTAAGCTAATATCTCTAAAATTGTAACGTTGACGATCATTGATTGAATATGTTATAGGACCACAACAGTAACATAAACTAGGCCTCTAAGGTTGGACCACATTCTTGGCTATGCTCCTTTCACTCACACGTTACAATCCTCATTTCTAGAATTGTTCTAATCACATGTTTAATTTTGTTGACAACACACACTCTTTAAATTCATTGTACTCCCACCACATTGCTTATAATCCAAGTTAGTAATAATCAACACAAGAGGTTCACGTAACAATGACATATTCACATGAATAATAAAAGCATACACTATAGATTAAAATGAAAATCTAAGCCACAAAAACTAACACCTACTAAACAATAATTAGTTGTTTACATATTTGATATATATACACAGACAAAGGTAATTAATTGTATACATCTTAATTAATCTAACTATCTAGTGAGAGAGAGAGAGAGATAGAGAGAGAGAGAGAGAGAAAGCCTTCTTTTTTTTTCTTGTTTTCTTCTGTAAACTGTAATTAATATTCAGACACATGGATGGATACACTACTACACACAAGACATTCACGACCATAACAGGTTTCGAAAACAGCAAACAAAAACCAGCTATTGACTCTCCATTCCATTCTTCTTCTTATTACCTTCTTCTGTGTTAATCAAAAAGGCTTCGGATTCAAAGAGAGTAGTGTGTTAGCATTAAGAGTGAGGTGTCAGGTTCGTCAAATAAGATCAGTTCTACACACGTGTTTGTTTCTTGTCAGGAAGCCGATGGTACGCGAGAAAGTTGTAACATATGCGTTCTTAGGCTACAATCCTTCACCTGTCGTATTTTGACACGGAAATAGCAATTAAGAATGGTGATATAGTCGAAATTAATAGTACTAGTATGGGAAAGGTTTGGTCTCGGAGATGTGATTATTACCTGCATGGCTGCTAAGGATGACAAAAAATCCTTGCAATGTTGAAGCAGATACCTTTCTTTCGAGGTTACCTTTAGAATTTCCGCTACCAAGCAGTTAGTTTCCTCCACCTGCTACAAACAAACTCATCTTGTTCAGTATACTGATAGAATACAAGTGTACAAGTACAGTTGATAAGTTGGATTTACTGAAAACTTGCTTTGGGATAAAGCAAAATGGTCCATCTATGAGAAAAGGTTTTTTGGTGGGGGTTGTATACAGCAAAATGGTGTTGATTGATCCATCAAAATGGGGAAATGACCCCACCTAATAAGCTGAGTTGTTACAAAATCAGCTTTTTTTTCCATCATATTGTTTGAAAAGGTGACTTCAGAAGGCAAAATAATAACAACAATTATAAAAAACTATGATGAATGCTCTAGAAATGAACCAACACAAACAACCATGCATGGGGTAGTGTGAATTGACATTACAAACTATTTAGAGCTCAAAGGAGATGAAACGAAGAATAGCAAGTAACCTGACCACACATCAAATACTGACACTATGCTACACTAGAAATAGGATGTGTAAAAAACAGGGAAATGCTATCATGTGCCTTTAATTTTTGTAATATATTGTCGAAACTTTCGAGTGTTGATAACGACTTTGAACCAGATGAAGATAAGACACATCTTTTAACGTGCCTGCGCTATGATCATAGACTAAATGATATAGGTAAGAACATATTCTAAATGATATTGTGTGCTTATAAACACCAAAATACTAATAGCCGAACCAATCACGCCTTATAAACACATCGTTAACGCTACCGAATTAAAGGAACCGCACACCTTATAAAAACTCACCTTTGACGAAAGAGAATATATTGAGGACGCCATTGCCTGCATCACATCAACTGCGGACCCCAAAGCATCCTTCAGATTTGGTATATCGGCCTGATAAAAAACATAACACTTCAATATTTGAGAGACTATTTTAAATTAGTATGAAGTATCCAAAAATAGAAATACATACGGTTGCTTTTTCGACAAGCGGAAGACGGAGAGTACTGGCCTTCAAAGCTTCTGTTGCTCCAAGTAAAGAACTGGAGTGGTCTCTATCTAAAAGGGCCCATTCTTCCAAATACAAAATCTATAACCAAGCACAATAAACTTCAATTATGACAAATAATAATAATAATAGAGTTAAAAGGTAATGCACTTACAGTCTAAAAGAGTTTTACACTATCATCCAATGAAAATTTATCATTTAGCCATGTCATATAATTTATTTAAAAATAACAGTATGACTTGTCACTTAACATGGTTATGATTGGTTGACAGTGTAAAAAATTATTTTACACTGTGAGTGCATATCCATTTTTCTCATAATAATATTACAATAATTAATACAGATCAAATATTCAAATGCATAGCTAGTTATGATTTAATCTAAACATAACTTTGAATCCTTGTTAACATATATGCTTGAATCGGAAGAAAATACTGATGCATACGAGCAATGTTTTAAAATTGAAAGTTCTGAATCATACCTGTCCCTTTAGAATGGAAGTGAGTTTCAACTTTTGCCTCAGCAGTACCAGCTTTATTCTTTTAAGTATGACTGAATGCCGAAGCTCGGAGATTGTTACCCATGCATTCCACAAATGTCTCTGGCAAAATGAAAATCATTTAGTTTAGGCTTGTATAGTACATTACCATGTGGAAGTATTGTTATCAGCCAACAGTGTTGCCATTGTCATCCTAAGCTAAACATTGTATAATACATGAATAAACAATAGCTTTGTAACATAATAAAAAACCGGATAAGTAGGAAACTGTTGAATGTCACTAAGACCAGTAGATTTCTAGAGCCTATAAAAAGTAATGTTAAAAAACTTAAACATAGACAACTTTTATGGAAACTTGACCAGTCTTGTAGATGGCGGATGGTGGTCCATGGCAGAGAGCCAAAATACCACCATACTGCCATGTATATCCACCATAGAGGATATTTGATAACACTGAACTTGACTCATGACCAACATGATATTAGGTTAAGATGTACAACAAAGAATTTTACTTGAGGTAAACTTAAACCATTTTTAGCAACTACTTATATTTTCTGTACATGTACCTAAATATATATGGCCATTCAACACATCCTTATTTCGGCGCGCAATAAAGTTTTTCTCCACGTAAATAGAAAGGTTGACCATTTATGATAGGGTTGTTATTTGAAGGAGTTAGTATGATAGAGTTAGTTGCGATCAGTCGATACCGAGATAGCTAGAGAGGTAGACTATTTTATATATTGATACAGGAAGGGATGAGAGGGAGACTATCTTGATTCTTGTCATTTGAGAAAGTGTAGGGGGCTTCATTCTTTTGGCAACCGAGGTACATAACCTCGAAGCTCTACAATATAATGTGTAATCGGTGGAATTCTTCCCTAAATCATTTATTACAAAAACTAAATTCTTATTTATCAGCTTATCTTACATCCATTTCCATTGAATCACTTCTTGTAGAACTCTACTTGTTTATGTTCTAACACACACTTAAGCCATATATGGGACAGAGATAATTGCAAATTTATACACGACAACATTTCAGAAAAGAACATCCAAATTAGATCATCACCAACAAGATAGTTTCTTGATGTCGCTGTCGGTGAGATTCTAAACTCACAATACATAAACCACAAACAACCATCCTATTTAGCAAGTGTGAAACTAGATAATCCACTAACGAGCCAGCATTATCTGCAACTAGTATGATACTTGGCAACGCTTGAAAACTTTGAAATCTCAAAACAAGTAAAGTTCCCCTCCAAAGCTCTCCAAAAACCAACTCCCAAAATATTAAACTTATTTCTAGATATAGACGCAATCCTCCAAAGCCTTCCCCTCCAAAACTCTCCAAAAATCAACTCCCAAACAGCCCCTAAAGTTCGACAATAAACCCCTAAGCACAATGTTGCATTAACCTAAACCATTCCACAAACACATTATAAAATACAAGGCAATGACACAATTACCCAAAAAAATAACAATTGAGACATTCATATCACTAACAAGTAACGAAAACGATAGCATCGAATGTGGTTTGACAAAACACAAGTTTAACCATACCTCTGCATTCAGTTTCTGCACCATAAAGGTAGCATCAGCCCTGGCATTAACAAACCGCCATTGCACATACCGATTATAAAGAAGTCTCAAAGTATGTGCATCAAATATCCGATCTTCCCCTATCTTCCCTCTCCTCACATCAGCAGAGAAGCTAAGAATCGAAGGCGAATTACCAGAGTTACTATTAATGGAACTCGCAACTGCACTCCTCACTTTTGAAGGACTGGAAAACCCCCTTGACGGAGAGGAAGCAGCCGACGCCCAAAGTTTACTAGGCGAAGCAGGCCGCACGTTTCCCCTGATAGGAGAAGCCATAGTTCGAGGCGACAACACAGGACCATCACTATTATACCTTTTCAACTGAGAATTCTTCGATGGAACACTAACCCTCGAAGCAGGACTAGTTGACATAGGTGAACCAGGATCCTGCAACCGGCGTAACCGGCTATTAGTCTCCTGCCAAAACTTCGAAGAAACAACAATGCCACGATTTTCCCTCGGAACCTTAAGCGCCCCCAGAGAAGAAGAATCATGTGCTCCTGAATTGCTACCGGATGAAACACTATCAGTATCAGAAGCATTAACATCAGAATTCGAATTCAAATTCAAACAAGGTTCATTCAATTGAGTAGTACTAGTTTTCCCTAAATCCAAACTCAAACCACTTAATCCATCAAATGAAGCTCTTCTTCTACCACTCTCCATAACCATTGATTGTTGCAATGCACGAACAACTTTCCCAACAACCTTCTTCTTCTCCCCACCATCACCACCACCACCACCACCACCACTGCAATCCACACTCCTTGACAAATGATTAACCTGTCTAGACCGTGCAGGCCACCTATGCTGATCCGAGGGTCGAGAGTTCTCCCCCTGATCTCCTTTTCCAGCCACCGGAGCAACCCTCCGCCGCTCCGGAGTGGCGGCTTTCGCCTTACTCTTACTAATAGGAAGAGAAAAAGCCTCGCCTTGAAAAGAAACAGACAAACTCCTCGTAGAAGTTACCAAAAGCTTTGTCGCTTCAGGAACCGGCGTTGTTGGTCGGGGTCTCCGACGGTCCACAGACTGAGAGCGTTTCGGAACAAGCGGTGTAGGCGAATTCGTTGAACGAGTGAGAAGAGGTGAAGCAAATCTCCTTGAAGAAGAAGAAGATGTTGTAGTAGTAGTTGTTGATGAAGAACTTGTTGTTGTAGTTGTTGTTGTTGAAGAAGAAGAAGGCGAAGGTGACATGTACCTAGAAGAAATTTGTCTCCCCTTACCTCTTTTGGGTACGACGCCATTGTTGTCTTTCTCGGAGCTTGATGATGCTAATGGGTTCTCTGAAATGGCAGCCACCATTGCAAAAAGGTGAAAACTTTACCTCACATTGTTAACTTCATAGCTTGAAAAAAAGAAGAAAATGGTGCAGATCAAGGAGATGGGAAATGGGTATGGTTCAGATTCAGCAATTTTGGAAGGAACAGTGAGAGATTTTAGAGAGAGAAAATCGAGACAGAAAGTGAAGTAGGTGAATAAACAAAAAAGAATGAAAAAATAAAAAGAAATATTTGTTTTAGAGAGAGAAAGTGTGTTTTGTTTGAGTAGAAGGGTTTTTGTTTTGGTTTTGGTGAATCTTTGGAGGAACGTTAGTGTTAATTAAGGTGAATTAAATGTTGTTTTGTTGGTTTTGTAAGTTTCTTATTGTTAATGCTTTTTCTTTCCCTCACTCAATGTCAAAATTTTGTTCTATAAGTTTAATAGTATTTGCAATGTGTGAGATATTCTTAGTGTGAATTACTTTAAGGAAGGATAATGTGGTTAAAATAAATAAAAGAAGCTAGGATATATGATGGAAAAAGCAAGAAAAACTACATGGTTTTTACTTGAAAGGAAGGGGAATTTGAAAATAAGAAAAAAAATCATTCAAACTGAAAATAAATATGAATACTAATACTTTGTAAAACCACTAAGCGTGTCTTTGTTGGGGTTGGCTGAATATATAATTGATTTTTTTTTTTATATTATTGAGTTTTGTAAAATTGATTTTAGTGTGTGTTTGGAAATATGGTGGGTCACCATCACCTCGCATTTTACACCCTTTATCATGATTTTTTAGAAGGTGCAAGTAGTAGTTTTTACCAACTGCGTTTTTATTGTGATTTTTTCATAGTTTGAACATGAGATTAATATAATTAATTTATATTTGGATATATTTGTGTAAAAGTGAGTTGAGTAATAAATCTTAATGTAAAAATTAAATTTAAATTTAGAAGCTACAAATTTTAGCTTCAAGTAAAATTAATTATAGAGACAGAATTAACTCTACTTAAGAAGAATCAAACGCCTCAAAATCACTCAGAATCAATTTTATATCTCTGGAATTGTTTTTGTCTCTTCCGATAGTCAGATCAAACATGTTATAAAAAATATGATTCATCAAGATAACTAACATATTTAACACTAGTCATTTAAATATTGTAGTGATATATTTGGAAAAAGACTTATTATAGTGGGAGGACAGCTAGTTGCTCTTAAAGAGAGGACCCCTATCTATCGCCCACTATAAGGGGTCGTCTCGTCCTAAGTGCTCCTTACTCGTTCAATCGTGGGAAACGTGGGGAAAGACGTTCATCGGCGAAGAGAAGTCAGAATCAACAGTCTAACCTACAACTCCCTAAGAAGTAGGGGTTCAACGGTCCATCATAGACTGAGTGGACGATTGTCATTCCCAAGGGAACCTGAGGCCCGAAAGTATATTCTATAAATACCCCGACTTTAGGGTTTGTAGTTGTTTAGTTATTGGCTTGCATTTTTGGTAAAACCAGGTGTGTGTGTGTGTGTGTGTGTGTGTGTGTGTGTGTGTGTGTGTGTGAATGTCATGACTAATGTCATAACATTCTAGTTTAGTATGTACTGATTCATTAGGTACCTTTGCAGAAAAATATTGTCATACAGGTGCTGCTGTTTTTAAGTGTGTATCTGAGCATTTTGCAAAAAGATCACATTTACCTAAATCAGTAGACAGGTTTTCAGATGTCATAACAAATGTTAAGACATCCTGTTCTGAACTAACAGTTATGCAATTTGGGTAATTCTGAGTTTTTTCAGGATTATGACTCAGTCTTTCCAGAACAGAAAATGTCGTGGACTTGGGGTTAACCTAGCTCAACCCTAACCTGGTTGATAAAGTCCTGTGACCTAGTCTTAAGGTCAAACGGAATTAACCCTAGCTTTTTGTGGAAACCCTAACTGAAGATGCAGCTGCTATATATTCAACAGAGCTGCTGTTTTAGCAGTATCCCTTTTTGACAGAAGATCATTTAGAAGCTGTATAGTTTTAACTATTGTAATCCAAGCAATTATCATTGTGATAAGTGACTTGGAATAGGTTTTAATTGTAAGGGTTGTGTATCACTCAAAGCTTTGAAGCAAGAGTATTTGTATGTCTCTTGACTAAAGCTGTGAAGCAAAGTCAAGTTAGGTTTGTGTATCACTCAAAGCTGTGAAGCAAGAGTGTTTGTGTTGCTTGATTAAAAAGCTGTGAAGCATAATCAAGTGTATGTTTTGAAGAGTGTCTTCATCAATTCATTAGTCAAATTGTTTTATGTATCACTGCTGTGATTGAGGGGGAGTGAGTAGGAACTCAGGTTTAAGTTGTACTTAGATTGAAGTTGCATTGGGTAGGTCTTAAGTGAAGGAGATAAACTGGTTGGTTTATTCCTGAATTAATATCTCTTATAGTGGATTTCCTCCCTGGCTTGGTAGCCCCCAGAGTAGGTGTTGTTGCACACTGAATTGGGTAAACAATTGACTGTGTTCTTTACTGTTTTTTGTATTTACTGTCTTATAGAAAGTCAGATATGGTGTCATAACATTGAACGTGACATTGAGTATTTGCATCCAGAATTTCAATTGGCATCAGAGCAGGCACCCTGCTTGTATTACTGGGTGAGATCTAGGGATATCACTTTCTGGCACTATGGACAAAGAAGGAGTTTTTGGAAATAGACCACCCATTCTGGATGGAACTAATTATGACTACTGGAAACCTCGTATTATTGCCTTCTTAAAATCTCTGGACAAAAAGGCTTGGAGAGCTGCTGACAAAGGATGGATCCATCCCACCATAACTGAGAAAGATGGGACAATCAGTTTGAAGCCTGAGGAAGATTGGAGTAAAGAAGAAGATGAGTTAGCCCTGGGAAATTCCAAAGCTTTAAATTCCTTGTTCAATGGAATTGATAGAAACATTTTCAGACTAGTACATCAATATGAATTGGCCAAGGAAGTTTGGGACACTCTCAAAACTACTCATGAGGGCACTTCCAAAGTGAAAATGTCAAGGCTTCAGATGTTGACTACCAAGTTTGAGAATCTAAAAATGATGGAAGATGAAACCATTCATGAGTTTCACATGAACATCTTGGAGATTGCCAACACCTCAGGAGCACTGGGAGAAAAGATGTCAGAAGAAAAATTGGTGAGAAAGATTCTCAGATCCTTGCCTAAAAGATTTGCTATGAAGGTAACTGCCATAGAGGAAGCCCAGGACATCAGCAAGTTGAAAGTGGATGAACTAATTGGGTCTCTTCAGACTTTTGAGATGGGGATCACTGAAAATGGTGACAAGAAGAACAAGAGCATAGCACTTGTATCCAACACTGATGTTGAAAACAAGGAGGATGAAGAAGAAAATATTTCAGAAGCTATAGCCATGCTTTGAAGACAGTTCAACAAACTCATCAAAAGAATAGATCTAAATTCAAGGTCTAATGTTCATAACATTCCCTCTGACATTGACAGTTCCAGCAGAAGACCAAGGTTAGAAGAGAAGGGAAATCAAGGCAGAGGAATTCAATGCCATGGCTGTGAAGGATATGGGCATATTCGAGCTGAATGTCCTACCTTTCTTAAGAAACAAAAGAAAGGAATGACTGTTACTTGGTCTGACTGTGATTCAGAAAGTAATTCTGAAGAAGAATCTGCCAAACTAGTTACTGCTTTAACTAGTGTTTGTACCTCTGAAAGTGACACTAGTGATGAAGAAGTGACATTTGAAGAACTGGCTGATACCTACAAGAAATTGTGTATTAGAAGTGCTGAAGTCTGTGTGCAGAATGAGAAACAATCAAAACTCATCATAAAGCTGGAGGCTGAAAAAAGGGCAGACCTTGAAACTATAAGTCATCTAGAAGGGGAAGTTCAATTGCTGAACTCACAAATGAACCAAATGACCAAATCTGTCAAGATGCTGACTAATGGAACAGACAATTTGGAAGAGATTCTTCAAGTTGGACAAAATGTGGGAAACAAATCTGGACTAGGATTTGTGGAAGCTAAGAAATCTGGTGCAGACAAGAAGATCAGGCCTGTTAAACAAATGTCAAAGCAGATGTCTCAACACAACTCTCAACATCAGAAACAGAGATATATGAAGAAAAAGTACCAAAGATGGAGATGTCATCATTGTGGGAGGTATGGCCACATAAAGCCTTTCTGCTTCAAATTGCATGGATACCCTAATCAAAACTCAGGTGTTAAACCTAAGTCAAAAAAGGTACCACATACTCCTCAATGGAAGAAAAAGGCTACTGCCCTGATAGCCCACACTTCCCTGAGAGTCTCTGCAAGGGAAGGCTGGTACTTTGACAGTGGGTGCTCTAAGCACATGACTGGAATAAAGAACATTCTCAATCATGTTAAACCTCACACCACTAGTTATGTGACCTTTGGAGATGGTGCTAAAGGTGAAATCAAAGGAGTTGGTAATTTGGACTGCCCTGAAGTTCCAAATCTAAATGAAGTTCTATTGGTAAAAGGCCTGACTGCTAATCTCATTAGTATCAGTCAATTGTGTGATCTAGGATTCAAGGTCATCTTCTCAAAATCTGAATGTCTAGTAATTAATGAAAAACTAGAAGTGGTAATGAAAGGAATCAGATCTAAAGATAACGGTTACATGTGGCAGCCTGAGAACACTAATAACTCCACTATGTGTTCCATTACCAAAGAAGAAAAAGAGATGAAACTGTGGCACCATAAGCTTGGTCATCTTCATCTAAGAAGAATGAAAAGAACTACCTCTATGGAAGCAGTCAGAAGGATTCCAAGACTGCAAATTGATAAAAGGAGGGTTTGTGGTGAACTTCAAATTGAAAGGCTTGGTAAAAAGAGACATGTCTATGATGTGGTGAATAAACTTGAAGAAGGATGTGTTGTCAGAACCAAAAGTAATCATGACAAAGAATTTGGAAACAACAAGTTTAATAAATTCTGTTTTCCAAAAAAAAATGAGTCATGAAGTCTCCTCTCCCATAACTCATCATCAAAATGGAGTTGACAAAAAGAAAAATAGGAAC